TGTTGGATCTACTTAAGGGACATGGCGGGGGGACTTGGGGACCAGGCGGGGAAGGACATGGGGGCATGCAGCAACATAATGCACACATACAAGCACTAAGGGTCTACTTCAACTTGGTCTGCTGGGGCAAAACCCAGTAGCTCGAGTGGAAAGGCGCTACCCGGGCACAAGCGAGACAAATCCACGGGCACAAGCGAGGCCGTTGCCTTTGGCGGTGGTTGGTTGGTCCTTTCTTCCAGAAGTATTTATTTACTGTGTGAATGGGTTATCTCTCCCACCAAACTCTTTCTGTACTCAACCCAGAAACAGTGACAATATCATTGAATATCTATAGTATTCTATAGTCACAATATGTCACAATCAATTACAGAGGTTTCGCCATATGGGTTTGTCTGAAAATTTTGTGTACCCCTACACCCAATGGTTTTGCTGATCATTATCCCTACTAAATGGCTATTTCATTGGGAATATACCCAACATTTTCAGACATACCCATATGTCACAATGTCAATCTATGTCAAGCTGGTCATGGAATGTGACATCCTGCGGCATCCCCATCCTGCGGCACTCCTCCAAGCTTTCAAGCAATGCGGTGCAGCGCTGATCAGCGTTGGCCATCAAGGAATGGTGCAGAGTCTCCATGAGATCAGCCTCAAGCTGCCATGGAGGATATGTGAAACAATCCAGGAGTCTGGGGCATCAATTGGTATATTTGGTATAAACAATAAACAATCATTGATTGATATCCATTGATATCCATTGATATCCATTGATATCCATTGGTATCCATTGATATCCATTGATACTGTCATTTTATGAACTAAGACCATCTGAAAGCTGTCCGGCAATGGGGTGAGCTTTTGTGAGCATCCAATCTCCCCAGAGTAGAGGACGGTTTTGGTGGGATGGCCCCTGCATTGTCAGGTCAGCAAATTCGTGAATTCAGGGTGGGGTACAATTTCACCGTTGTGTGCTCATTACATTGATGGCATGAAGAATGTGCGCACTTAATTCCTACATAAACAAGAGGCGAACCAGTTGTCAATGTTGTCAGCTTGTGTTTGATGCTACTTTAAATAGTATAGGTCCGCCGCCAAGCTGATGCCTACAACATGCCACTGCTGCAACCCCCAACATGTAGAGACACCCCCCTTGGTTATCCTTGCTTGGTGCCTGCATCGTCTTCGACTTGCCACATCGTTTGTCGTACCTGGATCGCCACATATCGGGCCTGAATGGTTGATTTAGACAACTTAGATCTCATCGGATTTCCGGCAAATCACTGTGAAGCTGTCCTAGTACTGCCACAAAAAGTGATGAAGAACATGGCCCATATTCAACTTAATATATTCCAAACCTAATCTTTCAAAGGAAAAGAAAACACATTTGTAGCTCCTTCTGAAATGCTGGCCCAAATTTACCTAAGCAGTCTGGATTACAAACATAATCCTTTAGGCATTCGGCTGGGCACTTCTTGGCAATCTTTCGAATGGCCTCCTTGTTGTAGTGCGCATACCATCGCAAATCTTTCACCTCAAAAGCCAGCTATTCATTGTAACAAACAGACTCTTCTCTGGTGCAGGCGACACAGTTAATTTTCTTAACCTTGGCACTTTGGACACATTTTCCTGTGTTCGTATGGCCAAACTAGCAGCAACCCACTATCCTCTTGAGGTTGTCGCAAAAATCGTGGCTGTGGGTCCACGTACCTTAGTGAACCTCCCAAATCCATCCAAATCCCGAAAAGGAAAGGAGTATCCATGCAATTTCCAGGCCATAATTTGATGTTGGGATGTTCATCTACCATCATCTACCTATCTTTTGGGGGTCATGACAGTCATCACCCACCGATCTGTCGCCTCATGCTCCAGGTCTTTTCGGCTCTTTGGCATCCTATGCCGGGCATAGTGTTTCTGGGAATGACTATGGTTCCAGTGGCAAAAACAAATGCATCGAATTTAGTCAGATGATGTCAATTTAATTGTTGAAGACACAGCTTGCTTAGATCATTTGTACAACATATGAGTTCTGCTGGAGATCACAGCGACATGTATCCAGCACGAGAAATGTTTGGTATCACTCAGAGCTGATCACGGACATTCAGAGACCTAGCACTGCCGGAGGCCTTGTTTCGGTGGCGAGATGCTGTTCAATCCTTGGAAACAAAACCCAAGCGCTGCATGAAGTCTTGTGATGAGATTTCACGGGCATGGTGAGTTGTGTGAACTGTTGCACTCTGCAGTTGTCCTCACAATCACTTTTCTGCAACCATCCTAGATTGCAGAAGGAATTTTCAAGCATTTCATCCAATTTGATTCGACCTCAAAAGTGTAGTGCGAGATGCTTTTTTTGAAGTTTCTCCTCTGTCTTTTCGTAGAAGGTGAGCGCCTTCAACATGTTACTCTTGAGCATCCTGGGTCGCCGGAGGTTGCCAGGAGTCGCCAGGAAGGGTTGAGTTCTGACCAGGCCGTGCTGCAAACCCCGATTTGGCCCGACTTCTCATCCCTCATTTCACTTGCTTAGTCTATGCAGAGGGAAAATGAGGAAGGCCAGCACAATGATGAAGCCGCAAACTTAAGGGTTAAGCTATTAATGTTTCTGCTTGTATGCAATGGCATTTACGATGACATTGATCATTCAAATATGTCAAATGGTCTTAGAAGGCTGCAGGATGACCAAAAAAAGCAACCGCTGTACCCTTGTTGACAGTGATCATGTTGATAGTGATCACGTTGATAGTGATGATATTCGCAAGAATCATGGCAAAGTGATTGATGTTGATGTTGGTGGTGGTGGCGATGATGCTGCTGCTTCTGATGATGATGATGATGACGACGACAATGACGATGACGATGACGATGGCGATGACGATGACGATGACGAGGAGGAGGAGGAGGAGGCGGGAAGAAGGGAAGAAGGGAAGAAGGGAAGAAGGGAAGAAGGGAAGAAGGGAAGAAGGGAAGAAGGGAAGAAGGGAAGGGGAGCACAACAAGGGGGAAGTCAACCATGATTTCACAGTTTCATGATTATAGTGCTGGTAGCGGAGATGGCGGTGCAAAGTTCACGCCAGCGGGATGATGATTGCTGGCCCAGTAGCAAACAAAGCAAACATGTTCAGTGCGTTCAACTGCAGGCTGCTTGCACTAACTTCTGTTTTAGGCCAAGGGTGCGTGGTGACAGTCATCTGCCCTGTCTGTGCTGTCGCATATGGAGCCATTCATCTCCACAGCGACCAGGGCAAGAGCTGTGCTCGTAGGCCTGCTATGTAAAAACAAGGTGCGGGTTTGGGTGGGTGCTTTTGGGCTTTGAGCCCAACTGACCTGCAGATCATCTGCAGTTAGCACTCCTACCCATGTTCCTGCGCACAACTGTGCTACCAAACATGTTCAGTGCGTTCAACTGCAGGCTGCTTGCACTAACTTCTGTTTTAGGCCAAGGGTGCGTGGTGACAGTCATCTGCCCTGTCTGTGCTGTCGCATATGGAGCCATTCATCTCCACACTGGCGCCATACACCCATCTTCCAGTGTGAGCAGACTGCAGTTCAGGAACTGGTATGGTGAGGACGTCTCGTAGTGCTCGACCATGTGCATAGTCGGCATCGACTGCCACTCTGTAAAGGACTCGGAAAATCCGATCCGTGTTCATCTCCAACCACTGTGCTCCAAGTGCATGCATTTCGTCATAGTGATGTCGTGAGACCTGATCACTGATGTTGAGCTCGGACTTGACCCATTCAAGGTGTAGATGCCATCCGTCGTTGGCCAAGAACCTCCAGACGAGGGCGATCAGGTTGCAGATTGCCGGGTCCTTGCAATATCCTTTCTTCAGTGCGAAGAATCCGGATGCATTGTCGATGAAGGATAGCACCATTCTACTGTTCAGTGATCTGCATGCCATGAAGGCCAAAAATTGAGCCGCAATCTCCAGGAAGTAGATGTACGCTTTGCGTGTACAAAAGCGCTTGATCACCCATGGCGGGATGCTCCCCGCTGAGTAATATGTTGTTCCTTCGTGGTGAATGACAAAGCCCCAGCCATTCTCATATGTATGGCATTTGGTTTTGTGCCATTGTGTTGGGACGTTGTCAGATCCTGGTGACAACGCCTGACCTTCAAGAACGAAGTAGGCATCAGAGTACACGACCACTACTTGCTCTTGCATCTGCCTCGGGATCACTCGAGGTTGGATCTCCTTGAGGAGGTTCTGCAAGGTCAGCAGGGCTGATCGCAGTGGTCCATTGAGTTGGTCGCCATGACTGTCTTGGGACAACCCATGTGCCCTCGCATATAGTGGTTGAAGGGCAGCTCGTCCAAGTTGACCGAACAGGGTGGTTGTCAGGAACACCAATTTGCCAGCTAGCTTGTGTGCCACCTCACTCGGAAGTGAATCAGACTGTATGGCTTGTTGGATGGTGGCAAGAGTCTTCGTACACCTGTCATGATGTGGTGCCAGAGTCACTTTCTCGTCTTCAATGGTAAGGACAATGCCCAGTACCTTCTGGGATGTCGATGGTGGAAGAGCTTTCTTCTCTTTCATCCGTAGGCCCAGCACACGCGTGAGTCTCGTGAACTGCTCAAATCCACTGTGAACTGCTGATGCTGGTTCGACCCCGATGAAGTCATCCACGTAGTGGCCCACAGCTGTGGCCAACAGTCTTCGACTGAGAAACGTGATGGCATCGGCTGCTCTGTTGAAGTTCCAGACGGAGCTCACTGCCCCGAAGGTCATTGCGTGGTGTCGCAACAAGATTGGCCCGTGGGGTGTCAGGAGCACGCAGTAGCAATCATCGGGATCCCGCACCGGGAATTGTCTGTAGGCACCATTGAGGTCTTGTGCCCACACCATGGCTCCTTCCTGGATGCCAAAGTCTGTCAAGGCCAAGTCCACGAAGGTCTTGATGTCGTGGTGGTGTGGGACGTCTGATGCGATCACCGTGGAGTTGTGACCTGATCTCCTGAAGTCCTCGCATCGTCTCACCTTGTCGGTCTGTTGCACGCTGAAGCAAAAGCTTGTGCAGATGTCCTGTCTTGGTAGTGGCTGCATTGGCTTGCTGCCAATGCTGGTTGTCTTCATCGGCCACCAGTCTGGGGCTTCATATGGCCCAGACATCCTGCCCTTCTCAAGCTCTACCTCGAGCTCCTTGAGCATGACCGTCCATTGTGGGTCAATGCGATTGCTGCTCAGCTTTGCAAGGGTGTAATGTCTGTTGTTCTTCAAGAAGGACTCTTGTGAGACTGGATGTTCATAACGGCCATCTGCACGAGGCATCCAGCCCGCTCCTTCGTGAATCTTGCCTGTGACTTCGAAGCCTTGTTGCAAGTCTTCGGACAGCTCTGTCAAGCCCGGCATCTTCACCTGCTGCAGGAGGTCCAGAAGAAGTGGTATTTGTGCGACCTGAGAGTGTTCTTTGTCCCAGAGAGTGTTCTTTGTCCCAGTACACTTGTGCTATGTGGTGTGGAAGATTTTTCCACCAGCTGATGGTGTCACCGTGGCGTTCTGTCGCCATCCTCTCCACTTCGTCGACTATCTCAGTCCTCATCCTGGGCAGGCTGCCTCCAATGATCTTGTGCAGCTCGATGCATTGTTGAAGGCCAGGCTCCAGTGTCAGGGGGCGTTGAACCGGGTGACTGGCCTTGACCGCTAGTTCCCAGTGTTCCCACATTGTAGAGGCTTGGGCCACGCAGACCTCTTCTCGTGGCCACTTCCCCGGCCCCAGCACTGGTTGCATCGTGCTGATGATTTCAGTCATCTGTTGTAGGGCTGTGTGGCTTGGAGCCGGGATGGGTGAGGTTGAGCACTGCCCCATCATCGCCTGCAACAGCAGCATCATGATGAACCTGGCAGACCCCAGGTGCCATCCGTTGGCAAGCATTCTGTGCCTTGATCTCTCTGGCACGGATGGTACGTTTGTGTACCCTTTGGGGAGTTGGTGCAGCTGCTCTTTTGCCTCTGCCCCCGGAGTGGTCATTGTGCCGTCTGGTGAATGGAGCATGGCCTCTGGCGCATATTGCCAAGGGGCGAACGTGCGCCCGTCGTCCAGCCAGCGTGACCTCTGTGCTGGGTCCACTCTGCCTCTCAGTTTCTTAGGCGGTGCCCTGCCAGCTTCCGTTGGTGCTGGAGTTGTCAGACAAGGCATTCTTTTGGCGTGCGATTCCACTTCTTGGTGGAGTCTGAGGCCTTGTAGATCCAGGTCTGAAGCTTCCTGTATCTTGCCGTCGTAGTGTAGGCGGTGAAATTTCTGCGATTTCGTCCACTTGAGCTTCTCGCCCGTCAAAGGGCTGTGCCTTGTTTGGCCCCAGTCAACTCTGGTCCACCATAATCGTGGTCGGTTGATCAGTCCGTGATCTTGAGCGTCCAAGATAACTGGTTCACAGTCGAGACGGCTTGAGAAGAAGTCTGCTTCCCCTTTGTTCATCACGACATTCTCCGTGATGTATCCCACTCGCCGATTCGGTAGGTTTTCCTCGATCTCACGAGCGAAGGAGCAGTATGCTGTGAACTTCTGACCTTCTTCTCCTGATGACCCAAGCGGCTCTGTCTTGATCCGTGAGAAATCTGGACAAGGTGGTGCGCTGGCGAAGATGACCAGCATCTCTCCTGCTGGGTCATGGCGTCTGACGGTCTCAGCCACCTCTTTGGGGTCGTCTCTGAGGAAGTTTCCTCTGTTCACTGCTGTTGGATGTCGCTCCTTCAGGACAGCGATGCAGTCGTCATCGATTTCCCATGCGATGTAGAGGTCCACCGACTCCACAAGTCCTTCAAGTGCTAGAGCTGCTGTGCCGATCCCGTCGAAGCAGCTCAGCAGTATGACCTTTTTGTTGATCTTCTGAAAAATTTGGCCTGTCCCGGCCGGTGATGGCTCTGAGGGTGGGGGCCACCCTGTATTGTCGGGTGTCACAGAGGCCACCTGCTCTGTGACCCCGTGCTGTCCCTATTTGGAACTGGTCTTCCAATCCGAAGACCATGCATCCTTCTTCCATGACTGCCTCTCCTCCTGCTTGGGATTGGCCGGCCATGAAGACGATGCCTTGTCGGACTTGTCCCAAGATTCCCATTGCCACCTGCCTGTGGGGCGGGTGTACGGTGCTGCACGACTGCTCTTTCCTGATTTGGTGTTGCCCTTGCCGGTGCCCTTTGGTTCCGTCTTTGTGGGTGCCGCCGGGGGTGGCTTCTTGGCCGTCTGAGTGGGTTCCCTGTTCATGCACTCCGTGAAAGCGTCATAGTCCTTCATGAGGACCGCTGTCACCTCAGGGAATGTGCGCCCTCCGCGCATCTCCAAGGCCAGTCGCCAGGACAATGACATCCAGTATTGGGCCAGTTGATCGGTCTTCTGTGGGCGGCTTCTCACCAGTCTGACCATCCAGTCAAAGAAGCTGTGGACTGCTTGTTCTGGCCCCAGCTTGCACAGAATGTAGCACCATCGTATGCTGTTGATGCCATCCAGAATGGCCAGCACGCTCCTTGGTTGCCATGGTTCTTCTGGTGCGGCAACCAGCTGCTCGCCGGTCAGCGTCAGTTTTGTGACACTGCGGTCACGTTTCGCCAGCGGGTTTGGTTCACCATTCGCTTGGAAGGTGCGAATTGATACCAGCTCTCCTAGTTGTACAGGAGTGTAAGTCTTGCTCACTTCGTGCTCGTGGAGCACCCTGGCGATGATGCTCTCTGCACCAAGAAGTTCCTGCACTGGGAAAACTCTGTCTTCTCCTCCTATCTGCTGGGTCTGGTAGTCCTGGACAAGCGCTGACCATCTGCCTGGCGCAAGCGTCTTCGGGACTTTGTCTTCCTGAGTCGTTGAGTGTGACCCGGAAGGAGCAGCCGTAGAGGGAGGAGCCTTCGGTTGTGCTGCAATTTGAGCCTGTTCCCAGCTCTGTTTGGCCATCATCCACATGTGCAAGAGGGTGGCCTTCGCTATGGGTTTGTCTGTCTCAGGGATAGTGATCACGCTTCCATCTCCCTTCGTCCAACCTTGGAGAAGAGGTTGTATAAGGGTTTGATCAAGCCCTTCTTCATTCTTGCTCAGCAAAGCCAAAGTCGCCGGGGTGCGTATCCCCCTTGCCTCCAGGTACTCAGTCAAGGCCGGTCCTGCAGCGGCATCTCTGGTGATGTCAGCTAGTGACACAGGCGCCAACGAGAGCACCATCTTTGTCGGCCGATTGTGTTCTATCGCTCAGCCAAACTGAAGGACATGTAACATGAGTGGATGAACTCTGACATGTAAAAAGGATGTCGACAGCAAAATTGTGTGGACTTGTCCTGCCTCAAGAAAACCGTGCACATCACAAATAAAAGGCAAACGACAAATCACAGTTAAGCTAATAAGGCCAAAACGGGTGATATGTATGGACTGAGAGTATGAGTGCAGCTGCAGCCGCCGTCCTGTCTTTTTCTCCGGACGTGGTGCGTGTAGACCCTCCCGCTGGGGTCGTCTAGTCATCCTCAGCACTGCTCGCTGAGGAGTCAGCCAAATCTGAAAGGCCGGATGACTCTTCACTACTGTCCGAGCTGGAAGCGTCGCTCAGATTGAAACATTTTCGACATTTCCTTGTGCCGTCTTCCTTGTCAGTGGTGCGCAGAAATGTCTTGCATCCATAATTCCATCCACAAGGTGTACGCCACCTGCTGGGTTCGTTATTCTCCTCGTACTGCGACGATTTGTGGAGAATCTTGGCTTTTGGTCGAAAGACGTATGTCTGTGGCGGCTTCTGCACTGCCTGCCTCACTTGGTCCAGTTCTGCCCGGAGGCCCCGTATGTCAGCCGCCAGGGCCTTCGGTCTGGCTGCCGGTGCAGGGGCTCTTCCCACGGGGGCTACTGACGAAGCAGCCGCCTCGGACTGCACGACCTGCATCTGGATCTTTTGGACGTGTGAGTCATCTCCAGAGAGCACTTGTTGGGGTATGTTCGGCACCCTGATCAGGGCGCTGTCCTGGGTGTAGCGGAGCACGGCTGTGCTTGTCCACCTTCCCAGCAATTGAATCAATGCCAGCTCAACCCCTGAGCTTGACAGCATCTGAGCCCCCGAGATCCTCAGCACATGACCGTGGAACCTCTGTGATTCTTGTCCGTCGGGGCCCATGCGTGTCAGCACGGTGCCAGTGTGCTCGATGACCCTCCTGAAGGCCTCTATGAACGTCTGCTTGGAGGCGGTGCGACCTCCTTGGTCTGGAAAGAGTGGCAGCTGTTGTCGGGGCTCATCTTGACAATGTGCCTCTAGTCGAAGGAGGTGTCGTTCAGAGCTGTGCCATACGCACAGGCCATGTATCTTGGCTGTGCAGCTACATGTCAAAGATCTCTCAGTAAATCTTCCTTTATGGTCTGTCTTGTGTATCGGTATGCACAGGCATACCTCTCGCCCTTCCAATCGAAGGTCGCCAGCTCTGGCGCTCGCCATCTCGACTTCTCGTAGCATGAACCACATGCCTATCACCGCCATGTCCCGGCAGTGAGCAATATTCTCAAACGAGAATGGGAGTTCGTCTGTAGAGAAGGCCATGTTGCCTATCAGCAAGCCATTGAAGGAGTCTTTCAGCTTTCTCTCACCGAGTCCTCGTTGGATGGACCTCACACAGTCCCTGATTCCCAGCTTCACTATGGCTGGTACAGGTGTGCGGAGGACTCTCTGCTGATGGCCGCATATGGCCTGAAAGTACACTGCTGCGCTGCGGTATCCGCCAGCCTTCAACGAGGCTCCGAAACATCTGATGTTGTGGCAGTCTAGAGGAAAACCTGGGACCTCCCATGCCCTGCACAAGGCCAGATAAGTTCTGACCCTCGCTTCCGCAGCTGGGTTCGTTGACTTGGCCAAGATGTCCTGGTCCAATGAAGCCAAGGCTTTCTGCCTTTGGTTGGGTTGTGCCGCCTCGAGGGCAGCTTGCATGCTGGCTCGTTTGCCCATGTTTCGAACCGGGAGGTCACCTCGGTCTGCGTTCTGGGGGTTGACTTCCGAGCCCGCTGTCGGAGTCCCCCCCGAGGCCAAAATGGCCTCAATCTGCCAGCCGTGGACCCCGGCTGACCGTAGCTCCTCATACTTAGAGGACAGAATGTTAAGGCTCACCACTCCATGGCGGATGAGCGAGGGAGCGAGCTCCTCGAGGCCCGCCCCCCGCAGGGCCCCCCACAATTCCTCCAGATTAGCCATTGCTGCGGTCGTGCAACAGCTCATTGTGGGGTGTCCATGTTATTTCAAACATGTGCAAAGGAGATAAAACATCACCTGCCATGCAATGCAACGAAACATCGACCCGACAAGGTAAGTGAAAACATGCTGAAACGCAAAGTGTCACAACAGTAAAGGGCAGTAGTGAAATGATGAGGAGAGGGGAGGATGTGAATGACAGAGGTAATCATGATGAAACCGCCATCTTTTCCTTCATGGGTGTGTTCGAGTTTGTCTGGCCGGGTCATCTGGCCTTCCACTTGACCTGTAAAGCTCGATGAGAGCGTCATGTTGTGGCTTACCAACATGTTATATGCGCTCTTGTCGCCACGTTCCAGTGGCTGCTGGACTGAGTTCCTATCCTCTGGTGTCGTGTCCTCCGTCTGCCTCAGCCATGGCTCGAGCCATTAACACTTGGTTGGCGGCGTTCAAGGCCTGGACACCCATCCGTGCCGTCCGGCCATCGCTACCACTGCTGGGAGTGATGCACACTCTCGGATTGGGAAGGAGAGGTACTGAGCGGTTCATCTCCATGTTGATGGTCGCCTCAATGGCCTGTAGCCGGTCACTGAGGGTGTTGAGGATACCTGCTGATTCGAAATAGCGGAACTCCTTGATGCTCTGGATTGTCGCCAGTGACAAGCGATCAAACCCGGCCCCAAGGTGGGCTGGTGCATCGGCTCTCCATCTCGCCAATGGGCCGATGAGGCCTTCCAGTTCTGCCTCAATGGACTGGCCTTCCAAGACCAGGCCATGTGGGGTGACCTCTTCGGGTCGATCAAGGTACCCCATATCTGGCATACAGAAGGCTCCCATTGTCATAGTCGCCAATCTGTCCAACACATTGGCAAACAGGCACAGGTTCGGCGCATGTTGCACCGTTGGAGTGCCTTCCCACGTCGTCCATTTGAGCAAGGCTGTGGCGAAAACGATCAAGGCATACATGACGGCGGGGCTATCGCTATGAGCCGGCATCACCGCATCGCGGGCTCTCTGCGCGTCGATGGACTGTTTTACCAGCCATCGCCCCGTCATGCTCATGGCTCGAAATCGCCCGGGCTCCTGCTTTTGGGCTTTGAGCCCAACTGACCTGCAGATCATCTGCAGTTAGCACTCCTACCCATGTTCCTGCGCACAACTGTGCTACCATACAATTGAAGATGATATATTTATATTATTTTATATTGATATATTTGTCTTGAAAAACTGAGTGTTTGAGCAACAACCATTTCTTGATGTTCTAGCAAAGGTCCACCATTCAATCAATTTCTTCTGGGTGCAAACCAAAGGAGAGTCATGACTTTGTGGCTGTCCAAGTGGTTCTCAAACCACCAGTACCCATGGATACATGGAAACTTCAGGTTGAACCATCTACGGATTTCCTTTTTACAGAAGCACCACTGCGTCCAGGGCACGTGAGGAAGTGTGCATTCGACGAAGATGGATCTGCTTCGATCTCCTCAATGCATAACTTCATCGCCCTGGCCGACACTGGACAACCAGCAATGAAGTTCAAAATAGTCGAAACATGACTATAGTTGAAACATGTTGAAACATGTTTGCCAACATCTTTGCCAACATCTTTGCTAACGTGTTTGCCAACATCGCCATGAAGTTCTAGCCTGTAGTTGACGTAGTAGGCACGCCATCTTAAGAGCATATTCTCCTGAAGAGCGTGAAATGAAGGATCAGTTTGGGATTGGATTACGCAGTTATGCAGCGAACGCCACAGTTGCATGACAGCTGGGGGAGGAATATGTTGGTGGTATTTTTAAGGGGGATTCAACCTCAAACTGACAGACGCTCTTTACTCAAACTGGCACGCGACAGATTCATCCAGCAATGGTTCAATAATGCCTTACCAACGGACACGAAACCCACTCCTTTGTATCCTTAGGCAGTAAATGTCATTAAACCATCCAATTGGAGGGCTTAATCCATCTTAATCCCATTATATCAGGTTGTTTTGAACCTCGTTCAAAGATGTTCGTTGTTCAAAGGGGCTGCTCAAACCATCCCAATTTGAAGCTTCCTCTAACACCTCCGTGAACTTCATGGCGAAGTTGGCGCCAATGGCACGAATCCCAAGGGCGTGAGGCAAAAATCAGGCACCAAAAGACCCGCCAAAGTTACCCATTTTGTGGTTGGTAGTTGTTAGATACCAAGGGTGTGCGCCAAATTTGTTGTTGGTAGCTGTTCGATATCTTGGTGCTTTACTCATCCCAACTTGGTTATTTACCATTATGTACCCATCCCAAAATGGGGGGAAGGAACCATAATCTTGAGCCATTCTCTGATATAAAGAACCATCCTGTCGAAACCGTTCTGTCATCGTGCTGCTGTTCCATCCTGAAATGCACGTATCTCCGGTGCTGATGAGACAATTTTGCTGATCCAGGCTAGAAGTGGTATGAAGTGCTAGGTCCTTCAGGGAGCCAAGAAAACATGAGATCGGTATTCCGATATTTTTACCCAAGTTGTTTGGTCTACAAAAACAAAAATGTGTGGGATTCAGAATTTGTTCATGTCTGCATGGCTGCAGCTGAATGACTACATTTAGCTGTTGAACCAGCTGCAGTCACTGCATCGATCAAAATTCAACAGCCGCGTCCATTGCGGCCCAGGATGTTTCCATTTTGATAATGCCACAGTTGACCAGTTCTGTTGTTTTTCCATGTTTTTCCGTAAAGGTTTTTACATCCATCCCATACGGCTGGCACAAATCGGCACGGCTCGGTTAATCAAAAATCCCATTGTCACATCCCAAGCGAAGCAAGTGCCTCAGAGACCCATGGATGTTCCTTGACCTGACAAATCCGGGCGCTATTGGGAGATATTGGGCGATCAGTATCCATCAGTTACCCTCTGGTAAACGTTTACATAACTATGGAAAATCACCATTTTTAATGGGTAAATCCACTATTTCGACTGGGCCATTTTCAATAGCTATGTTAAATTACCAGAGGGTATTGAGTTTACTCAATCCTTGGGATCATGGAGAATAGATGATAAGAAACAGCAGCAAGGCATGCAGCACAGCCCATGGCCTGCCTCGATGGCCCCTCGTGCGCTTCCAATCCGATCGTTCTGGCCGGACACGCCGCAGGATTCTGGTCAAATCCCTGAAATGGAACGATGGTGCGTCAGATGGTGCTCAATAATCCAGCGATATGATAGGATAGGGCGATATATTAAGATATGGGTATGGATCAATACCTATTAATACCATTTTTATGCGGGCTACCCTGGGTAAAATCACTAGGGTGACCCCCCAAAATAATTTCTGGGATTTATTCTGAGGTGCTTCTAGTACATAACCCACTACAAAATATTTTTTCCAAAACACTCTAACCACCCCAAAATAATATCCTTTATCACTACCCACCTCCTCAAAATAATTTCTGAAAATTTGCAAATAAATTATTTTGTAGGGTTCTACTATTACTCAAAAACACTTCCCTTAGTTCAAAATAATTTTGGAAATTATTTCAAGGTGGTTTAAGATGGTTTTGGATGATTGAAAAAACAAGTAGAACCACCTCAAAATAATTAGCAAAAATCCCCACAAAATTATTTTGGGGGGTCACCCTACCTATCCTCCCGAATGCACCCGACAAGCATTGTCGGAATTTCATGATTTAGACCATCGATTTTTGGACAAAGAAATCTGAATCGACCCCTTCCTACCCCATAAATTATTTTGGGGGTGGTTAACTACTAAACCACCCCAGAAATAATAATAGCCTAAACTGGCAAAATTAACTTCCCATTGAGTAGTTCAAAATCCAAATTGCCTCGAACAGACAAACCCTGAGATTTACCATGAATTACTGGCTGAACTAATTATTTTTTAGAACGTCGACTTAGCATCGGCTTTTGGGCAAAGAAACCTGAATCGATTCCTCTCTCCCCAAAAATTATTTTGGGGGTGGTTAATTACTAGACCACCCCAGAAATCCAAAAAAACCTAACCTTGCAAAACTCAACTTCCCTGGGATGTGTTGGGATTGACGGGATGTGGCTTGAATGAAGTTGGAAATGGCTGTAGATTGATTCAAAGAATATCCTGACTGAACATGTTGAAATATGTAGTTGAAATTTGATGTAATATGCTGAAATTATTTTGCAGGTGGTTTGCAAGTACCCCCACCCCATGAAATAATTTTCATCATGGGTGTCTGGTAATTATTTTATACAGTTGGAACTATATGAAATAATTTCCCCAGTTCAACTGAGAAATTATTTTGAGGTGCCTTAAGTTGTTTGTTTAAAATTATTTCAAGGTGCTTCAACCTCTGTAGGTGGAAAATTATTTTGCACCATCATCAAGGTACGGGTGCAAAAATTATTTTGCTATGGCTCTTGTCGGGTGATTTTAACATAAAATTTATGTTAAAAATTGGAAATTATTTTTAAAAAAATATTTTGGAACCAACCCCCACCTCAAAATAATTTCCTAAGGTAGGACGCATCCATTTTTAATGGGATGAACATCCATTTAAAATTTACCAGCTATTTTGATGTTCACCAGGGGTACAAGGTTTTGACACACTGTCATATTAATTAAGACTTGTTGAAGATATGTTTTCAAAAAAATGTCTTGTTCCAGTTAGTAATCGCTTAAGGATTCTTAAGGTACATATGCAACACAAGCCTTTGCTACAATCTGCCCGTAGCGCGGCAATGCCCGGCAACTTTTTGGGAGCTGCGGTCAGTCGCCACCAATGAGTCCACGACTGGGCATTGGAGCTTCGAATCCCTGGCCAAGGATGATTCAATATGATTCAATATGATATGATGGATTGGAGTATCTTGAAACAATTCAATTGGTCATCTGAACATGCTTGATGCCCCCAATTCAGTGCTCATGTATGTGTGTGTGTGTGCGAATTTCAAGCCTCAAAGTGAGGGGTCAATGAAACTGAGCGCCATTTTGATCTTCTTAAGAAAAATTAAAAAATATCGGGCATGGAGATGATGGTGATGCTTCTTTTGTTTCTTCTGATCGTCTTTGTACTTTTCACAGAGAGGTAAAATCAGTCGACATCATCCTGTACTACCCTCTGGTAATTTAACATAGCTATTGAAAATGGCCATTTATAGTGGATTTTCCCATTAAAAATTGTGATTTTCCATAGTTATGTTAGTTTACCAGAGGGTACCTGTAATCGCAGGGACCGTCCCTGACCACCCCTCATCGCCTGTGGTCGGCTGGTGTTTTCCTTCCAATGGGACTCAGCAAGGGCCCAGTCCACGACCTGCCGACGAGGGCCCGTTGAAGCGGGGTGAGATACAAAGGCTACCGAGGCTCAGACACAATCGGAGACAAACAATGCAGGCCACAACTCACCTTTCAGCCTCAGTGTCAGGACTTCAACTGTTGTTTCAGTCGATCCAAATCAAAATTGGAAAGAATACATAAAGTAACAAACGAACAAATAAATGAATCAATGAATAAATAAATGCATAAATGAATGATAATGAATGAATGAACATATATGCAACTTGGAGACCATGTGAGGTCTTCAACCAATCTCATATTGTTTTGATACATACAGTAAATACGGTACACGGCCTGGTCCACTCCAGCATTGTATTTCGTGCTCCAGGCACCACAGCCTCCCGCTGGGGCAGGGGCCCTCTGGGCATCGGAGCTGGCACCGGTGCACCGTTGTGCCAAGCAGTGACCTGGGACTTGGAAGACTTCACTGAATCGAATGACAGGTCCATGACAGGTCCTTCACGTCCCATGACATCCCATGACATCCCATGGCATCACTTAAATGGCTGAAGACAACTTAATATGGCTCATATTCTCTAGCTTGGTGTTGTGAACCAAGTCCTGATTCTCTCTCATATTCTCTCCAGTGATCAACATGTCTCATCGATCCAATTCTATCACGTCTGCCGACTAGGTGCCTGACAGACACTGGAAAAGTCGCTTGGTTGCAGGCAATGCCGATGACCTGACACGGTGAATCACCCAGCTTTGACTCGGGGACTGCATCTGCTATCATGGGATTGATGGGATTGATGTGCCGAGAATCCACTCAAGGGCCGAGGTGAACCGAGCTTTTTCGGTAGCATTTGATGATATTTGATGTAGCAGACGTTCAACAAGTCCACCAATCCAAGTTGTGTTGCCAAACAATTATGACCTTGGAAAAAAAGAGTCTGGCAATTTCTGATCGTAGTCACACCCAATGTGTGCCAGCAGTCACTTCCAAGGGAGATGATACTTGAAGCATAAGATATTTCACATTCCTTAGGTACTTCTTCTGGTCCATGTCTTGCTGGCAGGATTGTACAGCCAGTGGTAGGCTTCCTTGTTGTCTTCCAAGACTCCCGCAATCCCCCTCCAACCAGAGCTGTTGAAAAACTATGCCGGATGCACGTCTCCCACTTTCAATGGTTCACTGGTTCCAAACCTGACAAAATGTGCAGGAAAAGAAAATGGCCGCAGGATACAGTGCTGGCATGCGCTTTGCTCCGCTGGGCTCTCCCACTGAACTCCAAAGCTCCTGGCAGTGGCGCCCAACCGCTGTTGCAGGTGGTCATCCGGTCCTGCACGGCAGACACCCTTGCATAGCTGAAAATGCCATGCCAAAAAATGCTAAAGGACAACAAATCCAATTGGACACCTTGGAACTACAAGTGGGGTGCCTTCCTGACCTGTTGGACTTAAAACCTTTGAGATCAGTTCAGAGCATGATTTATGATCTATCTCGAAGCCAATGAGAAGCTAGTTTCCGCCGCGATCGAATTTGGATCAAGGCCCATTGGCATGACTGTCTTCAGGTGCCACAGTGTTTCCATCAGGGTCCAAAGATTTAATTCACCACAACCACATGTGCGCGGTACCCAATTGCCCAAGCTCAGAACCGCTCTCGTCCTTGTGCTGCCACGCCAGCCAACAGCAGTGTCCCGATTTGCTGACCTACCTCAGATTGGCCAATACAGTTAAGGGAAAAGTGGATCAACCCAACTATCGCGGTATTATCTCCAATTCTACCATAGATTTGTTTCCAGTGGTTGTTGGTGAAGTCCCCATTCTATTCCCAGTGAGTTTCGTAACATGTCACGGACAAAGGTGGGGACGACGTCCCGATTGCCAAACCAACTAATAATGCCCCAGTTCGCTAGCTCAGTGGCTTTCATAGTAATCTGGGATCATAACTGGGCAACCACTCATAACTGGGGCAGTTAGGGCAGTTTAAGTTTTTTTCTAGCAAGTTATTGTTGGGGTTAGAGTTATAGTTGCTTTACCTTTATACTTAGTAGGGGTTGTAAACCAACTTATGACTCAGGGGGGGCACCACCATGGACAGCAGCCTCCACCACATGGATTTCCCAGTAAGCCCGGTCCTGCCACAAGAGCTGTGCCAGGTTGCTGTTGATCAGGACTACACAATCATGTCCATTGCTATAGTGACTATAGTGAGACATATGGTAATTACCATATATCACCTATGAAGAATTTTGAAAAACTGTATATAGTGTCATTTCATTCCAAGAAAAAACATGCTTGGGCTAAGTGGTGCTCTTCTGCTCAGCAGCTTCATGAGCCCTTGGTTGAGCTGCTTTAGGAAAAGGACCGTTTCAACAACGGCACAGCGAGGATCTGTTGCAATCGGTCCGGCTCAAAACTGGGTAAATCTGGGTAATGGCCTCTGCCAGAAAAATGACCAGTCAATGGGAGCGGGGTCAAGGTTTAAAACCTATGTAGGAGACCACAAGTGTTGGTTATCTTTATGTCAGAAGGGTACCCAATTTGACCAACACCCAATGGGAGGTTCCCAAAGGATCTTAACTCGTGACAAATGCCCACCTTCCAGAGCCAATTACCGCTGCACATTGACATCACTTGACATCCAGAGTCAATCTTCTTTTGGCGACCCACTGGTTGACTACAAATCGTCGATAAGAAGAATCCTTCTCCAAAGAGAACTGTTGCTACGTATAGTACCTCGTCACAAGCAAATCTAATGACTTAGGAACAAATGATCTTGATCTTAAGCAAATATAAATATATATGTAAAATGAATGCCCCCAGCAAATGCTCCTGCACCAACGGCACGGATGCTAGGCAGCGGCCGGAGCCTCCCAGATGCAGCAAGAGCACACCACAGTTAGCATCATCATGCATCAACTGATGATCTCTATCTTTCTGTCCACATCATGACTCACAAAGCAAAAGGTATTGTAACAAGGGAGGATAAGGGAGGGACCTGTTGCAAAGTGTCTTCATGTTGTGTCTTGATATTGGGAGCTCTGGTTGTAGTTTTGAATCTTGAACTCACAGCATGAGTCCGGGGGTAGCTTGATACTGGTTTCCCCAAGCTTGCGCCAGCGTTTAGGGAGTTCTGTGATCAACAATGGCCAAAGAAATGACATGATTATTTTTCCTGACCCCAGAATCTGTGTGCAGCACTTCATGAGAAGTGGATGTTCTCTACACTCATTTCAAGACCGGTTTAGATAAAGTTTGATCTCTAGAGAAAGGCATGGTTGGCTTGTTGCGATGCATCATGGAGATTCATTGGCTGCTAATTGGGTTCTGCCTGAGTGGAGTCCATGTCAGTGTCCTAAAATTCTGCTATTCTTCGAGTTCATAAAACTGCAAACTTCCATCCATTCAGCAAGTGGATCAAACACCGCCAGGGCCATCTTGGACAGGAGCTGCGACGCTGGGTGAAGTTCCTTCACCTCACAAAGTTCACGCTTCGCAGATCAGCTCGCAGCGCAAACACAACTTCTCCACGGTCAATCCACGCTGGCCAGGCTGCACCATTGTTTTCAGTGTCACATCTTGCAAGCAGCATCAACAGCAGGATCAACAGCTGGATCAACGGGAAACTAAAACGAAATCAAATGACGTTAACACTGCAACATTTGAAAGCTGATAGTCACCCCCTGAGGTGGAAGGGGTCCAGTCCACCCGCACTACCTTCGAGGCAAAAACTTCAGGTTTCAGGAAGTAATTCTCTGTGCCACTTTGTGTTGCACACATGCTTATTTGACTAGCAAAAGCGTGCAAAGTCAAAGGGATCATTCTCAGAAAAAAATATACAGAAGGGCTACACAGTGAAAGCGTTACTTTGCCAGTACAACTCTTGTTGAAAAACATCACAACTTCATACAGTATCTACAGCCTCCAGGGAAAGAAGTTACACCGGATGCCTAGCATCTCGCAATGTGCCTGGTTGAAAGACAGCAGCGGATTAAAGATTGAACTCCAGCATATCTACCTATTACCTGATTACCCTGTACACAAACAGGAAGGGTTTCAAAATGTGACACAATCCACAGTGAAACCGGAATAGCACACAGAGCATCCATGGCCATTACCTCCTGGACCAGTGCTGGCGGCGTGATTCCTGCTAGAGCGAGACATGCCAGACGCATACCACACAATGCAGCGCAGCATCTGCACAAAGGAACCGAGAAACCCATTACATCAAGAAAGTGTTCACATTCAGAAAAGCAAAAAAAATGAGGAACACAGAACTTGAACTCTTGGATAGGAATTTAGATCCAACATGATCCAACCATTTCGCAGATTTTGCGGTTCTTGCAAATGTTGTACGAAAGCAAGCCACCCCTGCCAGCAATGTGGCATCGACAGCTGCATGCGGATCTTGCGATGGGCTGTCTGACTATCCTGTTGAGCTGTCAGGGATTTGCTCAAGACAGAACCACTTCCAGAAACCACGCATGCTAAGCCTCGGCAATGAACCACTCTACAAAAGTGCTGTGACCATCTGCGTTCACAGAAGCGGTCACAGAAGCGGTGCTTTTTGCAAGACAAACCATGACAAAACAGCTCGCATAGCACCATGAAGAAATCGCAAGTCAACCTGCATGGCCGGACCCTCATCTAAGCTGCCTTTCACAATGCCAGGGAAAACAACACATGTCTGACAATCACACCAACTTCCTGCCATCTTCAAGATTGAAGAAATGTCTGGCATGGAAAGTCCGTTCATACAGCGCTCACACAGCAAAATCATAGCTACACACAGCAACTCGCACAAGCAGATCATCTCCCTTTTGGCTTGTGCTTTCCGCTATGAGCAACTTTTGAGGGGTCCTAGCCTTCCCAAAATGATTTCAAACAGCACCACTCAGTGCACAAGGTTGATACCAGTGTCATAACCAGTGTGTATAATATATATACAGTAATCATATATTATACTTATTTATCCTATAACTGGATTATAGTCTGACAGAGAACTGCTGAGAAGTGCCACAAACACAGCATTAAAAAACAGTGGACACAGCAGCTCAGTCGCTCAGCTGAGACTCAGGAAATCTCACAGCTTCACAGCGTCACACAGCGTCACACAGTCACAGCACCTGCCTGTTTCATTTATGGAAGACGTTCTGGGGATAATCTGAGAAAAATCATGAACACCTGGTAGTCATTGCATCACCAGGTCATTCCAAAATTTGTCGAAAGTCAGATGTCTACAGTGTTGATTTCAATGATTTCACAGGCTCGCGCTTGCCGCGCTTGCCCTTCTGCCTGAGATCTTCGCATCGGCGACCAGTGCCGCCGGCTCGCTGTGTCACCCACGCTTCAACGAGTTCAACTCTGTGCATTTCCAGCAAGCATCACGCCGTGGAACGTGTCCCATTTGGGAAGCCAGATCCAACACTCTTGGACAGACTCTTGGATATTCGTGGCATCTGCCAATGGCAAAAACCTCCCTCTTGTCTGGCCCAGTTGGTGTCAGCCCCCACGCCTCCGCGTATTCGCAAGCCTTGTACTTGAAGCCTCGGAAACTCTGGCAGCAGGATGTTCGAAAAGTGCTGCTCAGTTTCAGATTGCGTGTGCTGCATGTGTGCTGACGTCATTTATTTATATCATCTTATACAATTATTGTATATGTGTCTTTACACACAGCTTGATAACCATCAACTAACAGTAGCAACAGTAGTAGATGTTACCAGTCGCATTGTCAGTGTTAGCCAACGGATGTAGATCCAATTTATTGGGGTTCCCTCACAACAGTTGTATACAGTTGTTACAATCCCCTGATGATGGATTAATGACCAACAATGGTGTGAGTTGCTTAAGCGCGCTGCCACATGCTGACACTGATTGCATCAACGACAGCTCGCTCTCTGGCGACTCATCATCTTCTCAGGCTCGACACAGGAGCTGGGGCATGATTTCTCAGGGATAACTTATCGTGGCTACATCGTGCTACATCCGCCAAGAAATGATAAGCTGCCATCGTGCTATTCCCCATCCCTGGGCCCCCAAGCTCTGGTGCATGGCTGCCAATTCCAACAGCTCCAGGCCTGTCCAGCGACTCACCCTGCAGAAATCCATGAAAATTGAACATCTTAAAACAGTACCAAGTGCACAGATGGGTGTGTCTGAAAGTGGCTACCCCCAATTTCAATGGACGATCCTCATTTTCCCCAAAAAGATGCCCATTAATAATAAGTTGATATAAGTTAATATGGGTTAATCATTGGCTGGCTTGGGGGTTAATATCAATATTGAGCTCATCATGTTACCCAATGAATGGCACTCAACTGAGCTCCAAAAGATCCCAGCCTCAGTGGCTTGCTTCCGGCACCAGTCACTGCACCAGTCACTGCGCTGGAACTGGAGCTGGAGCCTTGCACCTCCATGTCACTAGACGCAGCCGGGCAGCAGGGCGTGCGCAGTTAGATATGACTGACTCATGTTTTTGACTAAAATGGAATCGCTTCCCAGAATCACAGAAATTCTCTGAGATTTTTTCAAGATATAGATGTACAGTATGATGATGTATGAAGAAATATGAAGACACCAATAGATTCACATAGGTCAAAGTTAAGCAACAGCTATATGATTATATATATATATACATTATATAATATTACATAATCGTGTATAGATGTGAAACAGCCATGACACATATTGCACGTGACTCTCCATGTCATGCGCATCGCAGCCTTGGCGTCGCTTGTGGGCCTGTCTGCAGGGACAATGACTGGACACCAGACCTGGTCCAGGACCAGGCCTCAAAGTTCATTATTAACCATTATTAATCATCATCATTAACCATCATTAACCATCATTAACCATCATTAACCATCATTAACCATTATTGACTTAGGGCTACCTGCAACCATTTGTAACCATGCCAGCAGCTCGGAGCAGGCACATCGTTGGCCCGCACGGGTGCCTCCCAGGAGCTTCGGGTCATGTCATATCTACAGCTAGCCATATAAAAGGGAGGTACCAAAGGGTACCAAGTGTTGGATAATATGGTACCAATGTTGGATAATATGTTGGATAAATGGACCCACAAGTTTGGTGATTTTTCACTATCCAACATCATCCAAGCACCCAAAGGATCGAAAGGGCCTCCTCATCTGCTGGTGCAGGAGCATTGGATCCTGGAGCCCCGCAATTCCACGCTCCAAGTGCTGACATGCAAGCCGAAATCTGGTATGCCCTGGCATTGCTACAGGTGGCTGGCATGCTAATGATGATAAACCACAAAGAAACATACTATCCGTGGCAAAGTCTAGAAGCCTATAGGCTTATGCAATCCAGCCAATCCAGTGTCACTGTTTGAGGCCATGAAACCCGCTCACCCAAAAGCTGCAACGTCGCCGCCATCCCCACCCAAGTTGACCGCAGCCAAAAACCCCCCGCAAAATCGCTGCGACGTTCCAGGTGCCCGCACCAGTGCATTCACAGCCAATATCTTTGGGCAGCTCCTTAAAATTGATCCCCGGCCCCTTCAACAACATGAGACGAATCCTTTGTCAAGACAACTGCTTTACTTTTGCCGAATTTCAGCTTCAGACGAAGAATGGTGCCCACATGCTGCGAACTCATGTGGATGGTAGCAGCTGGGGGCGAGTAGCGGGGGCGAGTGAGGAGCACTACGTAAATCAAGCAGCGGTGCACTTAGGGCTTTCAGCTGTGAAATGTTCAGCTGGTGATGGCTTTTGATGCACCACCCGAAGGTGAGATTGTGATCCGCTGCCCAAAGCGTTGTTGTCCTGATCTATGTTGGGAAATGTTCTGACTACTGCAGGGCTCAAAAAAAATGTATTCCGTCCCATCTGCTGTCAATATGCTCTTGGTGTGGCATCCTTTCCAGCATTTGCTTTCTCAGGATTCGCAGAAGGGACTTCCTTGAGACATATCCAGCAGAATGGCTGACGTTTTGTTTCCACAGTGTTGTTGGGAGCATCTATCACCGGCATGGGAATCAAATGGTTTGAGCCAAGAGAAGGAGAGGAGTTGAGAATAGAGGCTGCACTGAGTTGCTATTGGAGTCTTCAACAATGAAACCGAAACCATTATGAGAAATGGATTCATCCCAAGAGGCATTCCACCATGAGGCATTGCACCACCACTTTCCCCTTCAGGAAATGAAGTCATGCTCAGAAATGTCGACATAATGCCGGATGGAGGGGGCATACATTACAATTTTGTGCTTTCTGCCGTTGAGCTGTTCTAAACATGCCGGAAAGTCTGGCTCGGGCTGCAGCAAGCCTCAGCACTTGGACTCACTCGTTACTGATCTTTTTATATCTTTTTGGCAAATGACTCGAATGGCAATATAAAGCCATTGATGATCAGGATATTAAGATGGCAGTTGCCATCACTCATGGTAATCCATTCTGCTGGCGACAAGTCGCTCCAAACATGTCCAAAATCATTGGAAGCTGCCATTCTCAGCCCCCACACCCGAGAGGATGTCCTGGGCATCTGGATTTACCCAGGGCCTTGGCAGTCATGGAGTCTACTGAGTCAACATAGAAATATATAGAATATCATAGAATAACAGCAAAGAATATCAAAGAATAACAGCAACCTCAAGATCAACTAAGATCAACATCATATAAGTAGGATTTGGGCTCCAAGGCATCCCAAAATCGTTGCTTTCGGCTGAAAGCTTTCTCTTGGCAGAATTTTGTCGGTTTGGTTGTTGCACCTGATGGTAATTTCATGTTACCAACCCCCAACCAGTCTCAGAACCCAACGGAAACTGAACGGGCTCACCCTTAACTCTCTTCTGGATCATGACCTGTTCACATCGCAGCTCATGCTGGCGCCTACCTTCCTGAACTGCTGCACATAAAACCTTGCACAATGGAGACTCCCATTAACATTTGAAATGATCGAAGATTTAATATCCCAAAAACAGATGTTTGATCCTTACGTCTCAAGTTCAAGCATTCGCGGGCAGCGTGATGTGGAGATTTTCTGAAGTCAGGAGGCTCCGTTTAAAGCATAATAATAAGTCGATTTGCCTGCCATGTACTGTATCCAAACTCGCCACTTCTCCGCTGATCAGCCACCCAGAATCAAGATGTAGTTGAATTATATATATATATACATATATATATATATATGTGCAATTCTTGTCGGAGGACTAGCATGGTGTACTTATGAATCTCTGAATCAAAGCCTGACAATTTGGCATTGTGAACTCTAGAATCCCATGCACTTCTAGTGTCGTGGAATCTAGTGACGGATTGTCACCGGATTGTCGCAATAGTATGCAATAGTTGGATCATGTCGTCTCCCCTTTCTCTTTTAAATCCGTTGAGATTGGGACTATTTGGGACTCACATTTCGACGCCTTGTAGTCACCCTCATAGTGAGGAAGCGATCCAGTGAGGAGGCAATACAACAGGCCTCAGCCATTCCAGAAGAGGTGATCCATTTTTGACCATTCTTTCTCACCATTCCGAATTCCTCACCCTTCGTTTTCTGGATGAAGCAAACATGAGCAAACCATGTGGGCAATGGTTTGCTGGATAGTGCAGTGCAGATACCCATCCTGTATGGGATGGAAGAATCCCAAAAAATGGCCACGGCCCCCAAGGCGTTCCACCGGTAGGCCATCGGACCATCGCTTCTTCCCCCAATGCCAGGCTTCCCGGCAACCTAAGCAGTAGTAGTCCAGCGGTAGGCCATGGCCCTGCCGGGCCACCATCTCTGGACTTAGGTATCCTGCAGTGCCCACCTCAGTGGTTGGGGATGACAAACCTGGACCTGGCTTGAGACCCACTGAGAGCGCAACAAAGGATGTGAAGAGGGCGGAATGTGTGAGATTATCCTGGCGGAAGGTGAAGCCGAGTGTTCCACTTACCACCCGGTCGGGCAAGACGGTAAAGACAAAGTATCCATCTTTGACAAATAAATGCTCTGGGGTGAAAGCTCAATGGCGAAGCTAGAAGATCTGGGGATTTCAAGGAAAACATGCCGAACGAGAGTACAAATCTTGTATATACCTTGGCCAAGCATCCTATGTGTGCTCTGAAAGCAAAGCCCTCCGCTTCTTTCCCTACACATTTGCCACATCTTGTTTTGTGCTGTAGTGCAGTCTACATCGATGCCACAATTCCTTCCTCAATTCCTTCCTATCATTTCCTCATTTCCTACTCCTTTTCAGTGGATCGAAATCCCTCCAAGCAGAGATCCTTGGAAAGACCGAAGTCGGTCAACCGGATGTGCCCTTCCTGGGAGCGACCAGCAAGGAAGATAGGAAGATGTGGGAAACCAATGGAAACCAAGGGTCCCACCAGGGGTCCCACCAGCAATGACCTTGAACCCTCTGTACGTGTTGATGAGAGGGAGCTGCCTTCAATGTTTTGGGGCGTGTCATGTTGTAAGGATGTTATAAGGCCTATTTGCGTATGCGAGATTCATGGTGATCACGATGTCTCTACTTGCTATGCGTGGCTTTCGAAACCATCACTGTGATGGACTGGTGGCCTATTTCAAACACAAACGTTACAAAGAGATGATTAATGGCCAGCCTTCCAAGTACAGAACTAGACCGAAGCACCCGAAACACTCCAGCACTCCCACAATGCCAAGCGTCATCATCCAACAAGCAATTTTCTGGCTTCAGGTCTCGGTAAAGCACCTGCTTGCACAATCGACCCACTCAGATCAATCTTGCCATGCAAAAATTGTGCAGAACCTGAGATGCAAATAGTATCATCGTCCGATCGCATTGACAAAGTGACCTGCTGTGAATGAAGGTACTCCAGACCAAGCAAGATCTCAGAGAAGTAAAATTTGCCATCTGGTTCCTGCAGCTCTATCAGCAAAACTCATGGGACTTCAACCCTTCAATTGATTTCCATCCGATTCCATCCTTTCTGGGCTCAACTCGTTTTCACTCAAGGTTTTGTTGTCGATGTTTGGAATGCTGGTGCCAGACTGGACCTTGGGCTGAAATCCCAGGCCGCAGTGCCATGAATTTTAGAGTCACATTTTTCGATGTACGCTGATTGCTGTGAGAGGAGCACAAATCTTGGAAATTCAAAACAACTCTATGACGGTAGAGATCACTCTGCAAAAAGTTGCTGGTTTCAATTCGGTCAACTCCTCTGCCACTCTGCCAAGAGCTTCTGTGGTGACACCAAGGGGGATCCGGTACAATTCTTCCATATTCTTCCCCCGTCCTCAAAGCGGCCCCGGTGAAGCATATGGAAAAAAAGCTCACCGCCGCCACAAAAGTCCAACACCTTAGCGACCAAATGCTGAGGTCAGCTGCTCATCACCCAAATGACTAGCACAGCCGCACTTCCCCAGATTTGAGGTACCACCCCTGTCTCAATAAAGGTGAAGGACTTTCGGTCAGAAGTTCACATTCAAATTTCTGGGATATCTTTTCGCAGGAATCAAAGTCCTTTATAGTCCTGCAGAAATCTGACCCCGGCCCTTGGAAGCGGCGTCGACCTGGACTTGGCTCCGAACTAAGAATAAATGGGTGGTAGTTTGGAATGCCCAATGCAAGGAAACCACAAAGGGGTGCCTCAGCTGCGAATCTTGCAGCATTGGCAAAGGCAGCAACTGGAAGCAACCCATGTCCTTGTGGAGGTTTCATATGTCATAGATGTTCAATCAGATTTCAAGAAAAAGAGAGAAAAAGAACGTTCCAATCTCTGCCCTAAGATTCATACTGGAGCCTTGACAAGATACGCTTCTCCGTTATAACCTCGTGAGCGCGATGGGACCAACGGATTGACACATGTCAATGAGAGTGATACAGAAGTGCTCTCTGTTTTAAAATTGACATGTGAGATATTGTGAGATTATGACATATGATTTTTAAAGTGCCATTGGGGATGATGAGAGTAATAGCAATCCGATTATGACATCCAATTCGGATGCGATTTCATTATATGTCTACAGGCGACTGTCGTGTCTGGGCATGTCTGGCGTGAATACGATTCGCGATTCGCGAATAAATCAACCTTATGTAGCTGTCCCTCATTAAAGTTGTGAACATTGTGAAACCTCCAATCGGCTCCAGGATTTCTGATTTCCCCCACCCATATCTGCCCAGTTCCGAACCGCCCTC